ATGAATCTCTCTAAGAGTTTGAAGACACCAGAGCATGGTGAATGCCAGGTCTTTTGTAAAATCCTCTTGAGATGATTTCTCATCATCAACCATATAGCTTGGGAACTTTAGAAGTGAATTTATTCGCAAGAATTATCGTGCAACATGCAGCTTATCAGCAGTAAACTTGGGGCATCCAAAATTAGTCCCAGGGGCAATCCAGATTTGTTAAGATATGTGATATGTTTTGCACACATTATCAGAGGGTGGTGTTCCCAGTATCTCCAGCTAAGCATGATTTTTTCCAGTTGAAACATTGTTTGTGTTGTTATCCTTTCAATGGATTATTGACGATAGAAGACTAGACTTTGGGTTTTCTACCAAAAAATATCTTCCTCTTCATAGATATTTAAGCCTTGTAAAAGGACTTTTCTCCAATGATGGCTTTTGTTTTTATCTCCAGTAATGTTACCATCTTGTTGAGATTAGCTGAGTGTCGGGTTGTGCTGTGATGTCTTATCATCTTCTGTCTATCTCCTCTATTTGTTTTGTCAGCATATACATAACATTCATTTATTCATTCACACTTGCATCATGCACACACATTGATATTTGTTGATGTTCTTGATATGTATACTTTGGTTATCATATTTCCTCTCCTCAAATAGAGTGTCAACTTAAGCAGAAAGTGTGCCTCCTTTCTAATTCCCCACAGAGTTAACTCTCGTGGAAGAATCTTGCTTTAGCTTTCATTTTCCATCTCTGGATAGGATAAATCCCCATTTGAGTTGTTTCCTCATTGGGTGGAGTCTTGTTTGACTGTTTTCTCTCCAGTTTATTCCTGGATTGAGCTTTGTCTCTTGTGAATGATACCCTGTGGATATCTCTAGGCTGTGAAACCTAGATGAAGAGTGAATTTACTTTGCAATTTAAATACGTGGTCTCCTCAGGAAGGATTTATTCATGGTTCCCCATTGAAGAGGAACTTTGTTCCCTAGTAGTGTTATCATAACCTTCTTCGGGAATATCGACGTGACAACAAGCGACTGACTCCTTATTTGAGCAGTTTGATTATTTCTGAATTTCTTTATGTTATGACAAATGGCGGTCTCTTCATGAGCAGTTTGTCCATCCCCGATGAAATTATTGATTCTCACCTCCAGTAATATCTTCACGATATTTTATGAGTATCTTCAACAAAACAGCAAGCGGCGGTCTCTTCATGAGCAACTTGTGTGTTACTGTCACCTTTCAAAACAGCAAGCGGCGGTCTCTTCATGAGCAACTTGTGTGTTATTGTTCTCTTGAAAAACATCAAGCGGCGATCTCTTCATGAGAAACTTGTATGTTATTGACACCTTTGAAAACATCAAGCGGCGGTCTCTTCATGAGCAACTTGTATGTTATTGATACCTTGGAAAAAACATCAAGCGGTGGTCTCTTCATGAGCAACTTGTATGTTATTGATACCTTAGAGAAAACAGCAAGCGGCAGCCTCTTCATGAGCAACTTGTATGTTATTGTCACCTTTGAAAACAGCAAGCGGCGGTCTCTTCATGAGCAACTTGTGTGTTATTGTTATCTTTGAATAACAGCAAGCGGCGGTCTCTTCATGAGCAACTTGTGTGTTATTGTTCTCTTGAAAAACAGCAAGCGGTGGTCTCTTCATGAGCAACTTGTATGTTATTGACACCTTTGAAAGATAGCAAGTGGCAGCCTCTTTATTTGAGCAGCTTGTGTATCCCCAACAATAATGTTTACTCAGCAAACGACACCTCTTTGGAAGAGTTCCATGGGGAAGCTTGTATTTTATCCTTTTGAAGCGATATCTTGGTTAAAAAAGAATTGTGTTACCGTTCTTGGTATAATTTAGAAGTCAGAGATGTTTATCTCCAGTCTCAGTACTGATGACAATCATTTTCCAGTCTCAGTACTGATGTCAATCATTTCCTTTTCCAGTCACAGTGCTGATGTAAACCATTTCTTTTCCAGTCTCAATACTGATGTAAATCATTCATTTCTTCGCTCAAAGTTATTCTCTAATAAGAGTCTCTCATTTGAAGTCTATGACTATGTTCCCCAGTGGAGTTATAATCTCTTCTCCTGTGGGATTACTGTATAATGTGCTTGGTTTCTCCAACAGTAGTTTGTCTCATGCGGCATCGTTCCTCATTAAATTAAAAATATTACATTCATATCATATCATAAACATAATTGTGGTATCTTAAGGCCAAAAATTGTGTATTCTATATTTAAGTCCCTTCAATCTCGTCGAAATGAAGATTCCAATCTTCATATCTCCAGATAGAAGAAACTTAAATAGGGGCAGCTGTCATACCCCAATTTTTGACCTAAGATCCCATTTTTACTTTTTTTCATTTTTATACAGAAGTCAAGGTCACTAAATACAGTCAGTTTTAACCTCTCACCTTCGAGCATTAACTATGCAGAAATTATCAAGTGTTTTGAACATTCTTAGCCTGTGTATCACTAACTTCTACTCATGCACGAAATGTGTGTTTTTTTTTGTTTCTTTGATTTCATGTGCAGAGACAGGTCTAAATCAAGGACATCAAGCATTGCGCTTCAATTAGGGTTTTGAGTTCTTCAGGCCAGAAGTACAATTGATTATTGATTCTCGAAGACTGATTCATAAAGACACGACTTCTAAAGCTTTGTTCAGGCTTATTTTGATCACAGTTGTTTCAAGTATGATAACTTCTGTCTCTCGGATCTTCAGAGGATCGTGTGTTTATTTCCACGCCTTGTTCGATAAGTGGTCTCAAGCTTCTTCCAAAATTCCCCAAAAGCACGGTCAAGATTTCATCATCACTGGTTTACATGTGCATCAAGATGCTTTAGAATGCGAAGAAAGATCAAGTTTGCAGGTTGATTCAAAGCATTTCGATCAAAAGTCAACTCTTGCAAGTTCAATTTCAAACGGTCATAACTTCTTCAATTTTCAACGTCCTGAGGCGATTCTTTTGCAAAGTATCACAAATAGCGTTGTTTATGAGATTACTTCTAAGATTAAAGTTCAAGTCATGCCACAGACGTTTTCTCAAGAACGTTTGATTTTTCTGCTGGGATAATTCATGAAACTGGAGTTTTAGTCCAATGATTCTTTGATTGCTTATGGACTACTTCAAGTCATTTTGCAATTGAACTGTAGCAATCATTGGATTAAGGTGGATTGTCGATTAAATTTCTTAAAGGCACGATTTACGCTATTGGTCTGTATTGTAAATTACTATGAGGTGAAGACGCGAATTAGGGTTGAGAATTCTTTGAATTCTTGTGGTTTGCAAGCTAACTTGGATTTGAGATTTGAATTAAGATTTGGATTCATTGTTGTGAAGTTTTCTTTCAAGTAACCAATACCATAAAGCCAAAATATCCGAATTTGTCAAATAACATTGGGGTTCTTATTTGCAAGAGAGATTCAAGAAGGTTTATGAATTTGATGTCTTGAGTAAGATGCATTCCAATTTCCCGAAGTTTATTCCAAGAGTGCAAGTTCATTAATGTGAATTGTTCAAAATATTAAGAATTATTCAAGACCTTTCTCAAGAATTCAACTTCATTCATCATTCATGCATTTCAAATTCAAAGACAAATTTCGACACAAATATTAATTGGAATCAAATTGTGTGTCAATTCGGACTGGAGATTAAATTAAGAGAGCAAGATCATGTGGTGTAGAATTTATTCAAGAATTTCATTCAAGATTCATACTTTCATTCATGTGAATTCAAGAGGTTACAAAATACTTCCATTACAAAATCATCACCACTTCATATCTCATTATAAAAACCATACACAAACACATGAATTCCTAAGTCCTAAAGTGCTAAAATTACATGAAATCTTTATGCTAAACCACCAAAATAATCCTGTTTCTATGCTACTGTCTTGCTGCCACAACAAGTCAAAATAATTCTGCACAAATGGTCCAAAAAACCTGCATATCAATCCAAAAATAATGCCAAAAAACTGTTGATGTATGCTGCTCCAAAACCTGCATATCAGACCAAAAATAATGCCAAAAAACTACTACTGTATGCTGCTCCAAACCATGCATATCAGTCCAAAAATAATGCCAAAAAAACATGTTGCTATGATGTCCAAACCCTGTCCAAAGCAGTCCAAGAAATAACAACAAAAATAGCCATACAAATTTGCATTCAAAAAGAAATAAAACAGTTAACTACAAATAGTTCAGATGCACCAACTTTCCCCCCAAGATTTATCATTTTTCTCTATAAAATGGAGGCATTATTCAACAGAAAAGAAAAATTAGAGAAAGAAAAGTGAGAAGAAAAATCAGATGAAAATAGGGAAGAAAAATTAGATGAGGAGAGTTATGCTGTCAAATTGAAAGAGAAGAAATCTTCTCCCTACTAATGTTCAACCTGCAAGAAGAGGATTCACCGCAACAGTTTCAACAATATTTTTCAGCAACAAAAATTTCAAGAATTTCTAGAGTTAAGTGGAAGGAATAGAAGCTTTATTACCTCATCTCTGGTTTTATTATACTTGTCAGAGTCGGTAAACCGTTGGACTAGCTCCGACCATGTAAGTGCTTCTTGATTTCCTTTAATATCTTACTGTGTTGTATTATTGATTGTACACATAGATTAAAATTGTTGCCGAAAATTGTTGCTTATGCCATGTTGCAAAATTGTGTTGTTACTGTTACAATAGAAACAAAACTGGAAAACTAGATCTTATTTTTGTTGTTCTTAAATCATGAAAAACAAAGATGTAAAAATAAAAATAAAAAGAGGGTACCTTATCTCTATCATCAGACAATGCATCTCTCTTCTCTTCTTTCTCTTATATACTTCTTCTCAAACAAAGTCATGGTCTTCACTTTTTTGCAAATCTGTCATAACTATAAAACTCAAGCAAAAATTAATTAATCCAAAACAAAACATCGTGTACTGATTGAAGACGAAAGAGTGGTGGCAACGGAAAGAATCGTCCGGAGGGATGAAGTGGGGTGGCGCGAGATCTGGACCATGGCCACCGGTGAGGACCTCACAGGGCTCGCTCGAAGTTGCTACGACTTCGTCGAAGATGAGCGGTTGACGGAGATTTCAGTTCAGCGGCAGCGAGGAGGTCGCGTGGTGGTTGATATAGCTCCGACGGTGGAGGTTACGGATGGTGGCGGTGGAATGAAGTACAAAGAAAAGATAATGAAGCAACAATTGTTTTTTTTATTTTTGTACTGTCATTATTTTCTCTCCCTCTCATACTTGTTTTTTGGGTTTTATAATCTTTCAAAATTTATGAATTAGGAAATGGGATTAAGTGTGTTTACTGGTTTTGATCTAGTAATAATTTGAATTGATTAACACTTTGTTTGTTAATAAACAATATTTCCGTTTTTGGTTAAAAAATAAAAAAATAAAAAATAATATTAGTAAATCTTATAATTAATTTAGTTTAATATTAATTTAGAATTCTTTAATAAGTTTAGATTTATTTTATAACTTTAGAATTTTATTTCATTTAGTAAATTTTAGAATTTTATTTGTTTTAGTTTAGTTTAATAACTTTAAAATTTTATTTGATATTATTTAGTTAACTTTAGAATTTTATTTGTTTAGTTTTAGTTTAATAACTTTAGAATCTTATTTGATTTTATTTAAGTTAACTTTAGAATTTTATTTGTTTAGTTTTAGTTTAGTGACTTTAGAATTTTATTTGATTTTATTTAGTTAACTTTAGAATTTTATTTGTTTAGTTTTAGTTTAGTGACTTTAGAATTTTTATTTGATTTAGAATTAGTTTAATAAATTTATAATTTTTATTTGATTTAGAATTAGTTTAATAAGTTTATAATTTTTATTTGATTTAGATTTAGTTTAATAACTTTAGAGTTTTTATTTGATTTAAATTTAGTTTAGTAGTTTTAGAATTTTATTTGATTTAGATTTAGTTTAATAACTTTAGAGTTTTTATTTGATTTAAATTTAGTTTAGTAGTTTTAGAATTTTATTTGATTTAGATTTAGTTTAGTAACTTTGGAGTTTTCATTTGTTTTAGATTTAATTTAGTAATCTTAGGATTTTAATTTAATCTAGATTTAACTTACTAAATTTTAAAACTTTAGTTTAGTTTAGATCAAATTCAATAATACTAGATTTTTTTTATAACCTTAGAATTTGTAATTAGTTTAGAATTATTTTAGTAAGTAATTTTTAATTTAGTTCGAATAACTTCTTTAGATAATTAGTTATATTCCTTTTTATTTGTATATTTCTATCATTTTAATTTCTCGGTGCCTCTTGATTATTAATTTGTTTTTGTCAGATTTATTTTCTTGTGAACTTCTGAATGTTTATATTTTGATGTTCATTTTATTTTTCTTACTCCAAGGGAAAGATTTAAATTTGTTGACTTCACGTCATCAAATACATCTCATCCGATCGTGCGAATACCCTTTTTTCATTTTTTGTTTGTTTACTATTTTGCTAAACTCAAGATAATTTTCCCAAAACACTCCATTTTCAGACTCACACCTTTTAAGTCAAAACTTTGACACTAGGTCGTCGTATCTTCAAAAATCTCGTCCATACCCATCTTTTAGCCAAACGAATCATTTTAATCAAACAAACAATTTTAAACCAAAAAAACAGATATTTCAAAAGGTTCCTGCGGAGTACCGCAGATGCATTGGGTGCTAATACCTTCCCACTGCATAACCAACCCCCGAACTCTAGATCTCTTTTCAAAAATGCATTGTATTTTCATTACTTTTAAGTATTATTTTACATTGCATATTTAAGGGTTTTATTTCGCTCTTTTCCCTTTTCCCTTTTCCCTTGGAAATAATAAAGCGCGGTGGCGACTCTTGCTTTTGCGAGTCAAGTTAATTAATAGCTTGATCTCCTATTTTCACCGCTACATTCTCCTACTGTTTATTTCAGTAGAGATGGCTCTAGAGCAGACTATCAAGGACATCCAGGCTCAAAACGCTCAACTTCAAGAGATGTTCTTGAACCTATCCAAGGGACAAGAAGAGGTCAAGGTGTAACACCCCTTCTAAAAATAACCCGCGAATATATTAATTAAATCAGAGTAACATGAAAAACAAGGATGTCACAATTCAAGATAAATATAAAACCTCAAATTTACAGTTGTCATGCTTTACTGAAGGAATTATTATTATAAATATTTAAATCAACATCATGTTCTACACAGCGGAAATATCTCAAAACCGGAATAACTTCACTTCGTAAGTATTCCCAACATAAATTAAATAATAGAAAATAAAACTCGCCATTCAAACGTTTCCCCCAGTGTTACAACCTATCAGAGTACGACACTGACACGCGGACTAAAATAACATAGCTCTAGAGCCATCCTCACCAACTCCTGAGCTGTTAACTTTAATCTGAAATCATTAAAGTAAGGGTGAGATTTCTCATAATTAACATGCATTATAAGTTTCTCAATCAACATTATATCACAAGCATATTATTTCACCCATTTAAGCATAAATTCAGATTCAACACACAGTTACAATCATACAAGTCATTATGCACAATTCAAGAATCAACCAAAGAATTGTAACACAGGAAGACATCCTAACATGTTACAATTCCACGCAAACATAAATGCAGACACAATGCATGTGGTACCAACACGTGACCAAGTCACCCATCACTGATCCATCACTCTCGGATACAGTAACCATCGATTCGTCCATCACACTCGGACATGAATCCAGCCGAAGCAATCATCGATTCATCCATCACACTCGGACATGAATCCAGCCTAACCACCCATCACTCTCGGGTATCGGTTAACGGCAATACAAGTCAAATTCCACACAATGGGAATTAACTTCACCAAAATAATGCATATGCATGTACATCACTAACATGCCATATCAATCAACGGAATATGATCACAACATAATTCCAAATAATGCCAAAACCAATATACCACAAGATCACATCTCAATCATAATGGATAGCAGGCACAACACATGAGTATCAATTCTCATTCACCAAATCAGAACACTTCACAACGATTCTACATCATTCTCAAAATACCAGGATTTACCAAGAATCGGAAATTCGACTCTTTTTAAAATAATTTTTCATAAAATAATATTTTTCTTATTTTATAAGATAGAGTATTTAATTTAAGAAATAACGTCTAAAACGGCACTCAAAACGGACTTACGGTTTGAAAGTTATGAATTTTCAAAGTTTAGTATTTTTCAAAAAGTTACAGCAGAACCCGGTTCCTACATATACAGGAACCGGTTCCTGCGAAGTTCAGAAAACACCCATTCTGGAAAATGTACTGGAACCCGGTTCCTACCTATACAGGAACCGGTTCCTGAGTTGAAAAAGTCAGTTTCCTCGCAAATTTACACTGGGAACTCAGTTCCTCCCCACTGGGAACCGGTTCCTGCGACCTGAAAAGTCAAAAACTGCTATTTGACAACATTTATTCATTCCAAAACCCATCCAATTCATACCCATACGAATCCAACTCACAAAATTGCCAAAACAAGTTATAGTACATGATTCTAATGAGATTACAACACACCATAACATCATACAATTTCCTCATAACCTCAAATTGAATCAAAACATAATTTCGTGGGATTGGTGTTTGAATTTCATAAATCCTAAATTGAGATTCCTAACATGCCTAATCAATTCTATTGATCCCAAAATCTATAAGGCATATTAAATAATCGAAATCACCCCTTACCTCGCGATGATCCTTCGAATTCTCGGCGTTTGGCTTTTTCCTCTCTTCTCTTCTCTTCTCCAATTTCACGTACATTGAGTTTTTCCTAAAACCCTTCTTTTCCTTTTTCCTTTTTATTCTTCTTTTTCTTTTCCTTTTATTATTTGCCAAATAATAATAATAATTAGTAATTATTTTAATAGAGCTTTTTACTACACACACCTCTAATTCAACTTTACACCCTCGGTCTTCCTTTTTAATTCCATAATTAATTCATTCATTTAATCCAAAATATTATAAATTAAGCCTTTAATTAATTTAATAATTAAATTCCTAATTATTTAACAATTGAATTAAATTGGGGTGTCACAACTCTCCCCTACTAAAAGAGTTTTCGTCCTCGAAAACATACCTTAGACGAACAGTTCGTGATACGAGTCCTTCATCTGGCTCTCCAGCTCCCAAGTGACATTTCCATCTGCTGGTCCTCCCCAAGCTACTCTTACCAACGCGATCTCCTTGCCTCGCAACTGTTTCAACTTCCGATCCTCAATTCTCGTAGGTACCGCTTCCACAGTCAAATTCTCTCGTACCTGTATATCGTCTACCTGAATCTCATGAGACGGATCAGCAATGTACTTCCTCAACTGAGATACATGAAAAACATCATGCAAATTTGCAAGTGACGGCGGCAAAGCAATCTGATAAGCAACTTTCCCAACTCTCTTGGAAATCTGAAACGGACCAATAAAACGTGGAGTCAACTTCTTTGACTTCAAAGCTCGACCAATACCAGTCATCGGAGTAACTCGCATAAAAACATGTTCTCCTTCGCTAAACTCAAGATCTTTCCTCCTCTTATCATGATAACTATTCTGACGACTCTGAGAAGTCCTCATCTTCTCCTGAATCATCTTAATCTTTTCCGAAGTCTGTTGGACAATTTCCGGTCCAATCACAGCACTCTCTCCAGATTCATACCAACACAACGGTGTCCGACACCTCCTACCATACAATGCCTCAAACGGAGCCATACCAATGCTCGAATGAAAACTATTGTTATAGGTAAACTCAATCAATGGTAGATAACTATCACAAGCTCCACCTTTCTCCAACACATAAGCTCTTAACAAATCTTCCAACGACTGAATCGTTCTCTCCGTCTGACCATCTGTCTGTGGATGATAAGCGGAACTCAAACGCAACTTAGTACCCAAAGCTTCTTGCAATCCCGTCCAGAATTTAGATGTAAACCTCGGATCTCGATCCGACACAATACTAGAAGGAATACCGTGCAAACTCACAATCTTCTCAACATACAATTCTGCCAACCTTTCCATCGGATAATCCATTCTTATCAGAATAAAGTGAGCAGATTTCGTCAACCGATCAACAATAACCCAGATAGAATCACAATTCTTCGATGTCCCTGGAAAACCAGACACAAAATCCATAGATATTCCATCCCATTTCCATTCTTGAACAAACAACGGTTCCATCAATCCTGACGGTTTCTGATGCTCAATCTTCGACTTCTGACAAACCAAACAAGCATACACAAACTCAGCAATTTCCTTTTTCA